TGCAAAGTTATATCCCCTCCCCCTCTTTTGTTGCTCTAATCAAGCAACTGCAATTTCTCTCTCTCTCTCTCTCTCTCTGTCTGTCTCTGCCTCTCTATCAAATTTATTGTCATTAATCATGGATGGCGAACTGTATCGCAATCGCAACTGCATTGTCATTATCATTGGCCATGGCTTTGATGTTGCTGCTTCGATTGTTGCTGCTGCTTTTATCGATCGGCAACATGTTGCCGCAACATGGCAATTAAGGCTGGCCACATTTGTTTCCCCCAACCAGCAGCACAGCTTCGGCCACTTCAATCCTGGCTCTATTCCTTCTAGCTAAGTTAGATTTATTTGTTACTCCAGCTACATTGTACTTAATATACCCTAACATTATGGCTTTATTACAGTCTGTCATTCGATTTGCTTGGCCTAATGCCATCAAAGTGAGCCGCTGCTATGAATTGCATTCGTGGACTGCCATTAAGAATTAGCACTCATTCTTATGAATAGACACTGATTGCATTTCATTGTTGAGCTAATTAGAACCATATCAATGTACTTATATATATTACTGTATCTATATCTATATCTATCGCTGGTAATCGACTCGCTCATGACTGGAGCTGCATTTCTCACTTCATGTTCATTTCCTTTGATAAGTGGAAATGGGGTGAAAATCTGTCTTAATGAATTGCTGAAGTATTATATTCATATCTTAATTATCTGTAAATCTCTTTTTTTTTTTTTGCATTTAAAACACAATTAAAATGATTTCAGAGACTGTTTTTAATTTTTCCCCAATTTATGCATCCGTGTGCTAGAGTATTCTGATTTTATATGGAAGACAGCTCTGAATGCTCTACACTTTTCAGGTCATTAATAGTTTTTCTCCCTCTTCTTCGTTTACCCCATTTTTTCTGGAGTTGTTGCTGTTGCTGTTGCTGCTGTCACTGTCCCGTTCGTATATGGGCAAGATAAATGTTGACTTTGTCAGTTGGCCAGCTTGGGCTGCCTTCATTATGGGCCATTTGTTTGCTGCATAATTGGCCCGGGCAATTGGGCCAGCAAAATTTATGATTTGTGCAACAGTGAGAGACACTGAGGGAGCGACAGCTACTGGGAGAGAAGGAGAGAGGGAGACAGAGAGAGGAACACTGAGAGTTGAACGGTAAATTGCCGCTCTGCCCAGACATTTGATAGCTTCGATATAGTTGTTGTGAGATTTCCTTTGCTCTACCGAGGCCATAGAGATCAAGTAGGTTGGCTGGCTGGCTGCTGGCAGGCAGCAGCCAAATGCCACGCCTCCTGCCCATCAAATGTATCATGGGCGTTGACCATTGCTGCGGCCAAGCTCATGTCATTTAAATTAAAAAGTTGAAACACAGCAAAAGCAAGAGGCAAGAGGCAAAAGGCAAAAATCAGAAATAAGAACTAAGCAGGAAAACAGTTTCTGCATGCCACGCCTACAGCCTCCAGCAGCAAAAATGATATGAAAAAAAAAATAAATAAATAAATAAACAACAAATGTTAGAGAGGTCGAAACGTCAGTTGAACTGCAGTCCATATGCATATATATGCTATAGATTCTTGACTTTCGACTAAGTCAAAGTTGTCAGAATATGTGAGAAACACTTGACTGACAGCCAGCAAGAGCAGCAGAAGCAGAGAGAAAGATAGAGGCAGAGAGCGAGAGAGAGAGAGAGGGAATGGGAGGCACAGAGTGAGAGAGCACTGCTGCTCAGGTTTTCTGGCAATGTTTATCAAACTGTCAGTTTGACACGCACTGAAGGCCAAAAAGTCGGCAAAGTTCCTCTTAAAGTTGCTTCTAATGCCGAATACCTTGTGAAAAATGATTAATGAGGGGTGTATTAGTTTTAGGTAAATGTGTTTGTAAGCTGGAAGAGAGATAGATACAGAGAGAAAAATATAGAGAGGGGGATCGACTTTTGACTTTTATTAGATTATATATAGCACATGTAAGAAGAAGAAATCTTTTCAATGTTTTTACAGGGTATACATTTCTTACTAGGTGCAAAGCGTCGCAGCTTACTAGGCTTGTTTACAGGGTATATGTATAGGAACTGTATGAATATACGTACATATACATAGATATGCATCTTTACAGCCCATATTCTTCTTATGTAGAGATACATCTTGTATTTGAGCTAGGCATATTTACAGGAAATGTTACTTTCCAGGGTAGTTGGCTTTAGGTCACCCCATATTTACAGAGTATCCAGCAGGTATTCATAGGGTATCTACTAGCACTTCACCTCCCCCCATAGCTTCGATCATTCCCTCTCTTGATAGTCTTGTACTTTTTGCTATGCGCTGTTTAGCTGTGCATTCTTGGAGTTAACGCACCGTTTGGGCCAGCTGAGCCGATCCTCATCGATTCGAATCCCATTGAGCGGCAGTGGGATACACAGTTAGAATTGAAAAACTTTGCACAAAAATGCGATAAAGCGAATAGCGAATGGCGAATAGCGAACGGTTTTGTAGCTGGCAAATTTATGAAAATGTTCGAGCCGTGTGTCCTTCTTTAGATTGTGGGATTTATTTGCGAGACGCCAAAAGCGCCAAAGATGGGCAACGGCAGAGGCAAAGTTTATTTTATGAGCCAGCTCGTCTCGGTTGAGGCTGGGGCATTGCCAGTGGTGCCACAATCGCCTCGTTGGCCAAAATCATGTGGGCCAACAGGCATCCTAATTCTGAGTTTGGCTTAATTAAGTGAGGAGGAGGCAAATACCGATAGAGAGAGAGAGAGAGAGAGGGAATCTCTAGTTCGCCAAGAATCTGCAGCTTAGATCATTACATTAACTGAGAAGCTGCGGGTTGGCCGCTTTGGGGCGTGACTGAGCCAAGTTAATGCTGTTGCCCCATTGTGTGGCATCTGCAACGGGCAACGGGCAGCGGACATTGAACCTGCTGCAAACGATGTCGCACATACACACATAGTACAATAGCAGCAGCAGCAGAAGCGGGAGGCAAACACAGCGCAGTAAACCCAAATCAAATAAGAAGAGCAGCAGCAACTCCCTGCCTTTCTCTCTTTCTCTCTTACTCCCATTCTTTCCCTCTTCAGCAGCAGGCACTGCCAAAAAAAAAAAACCAAAAAAAAAAAAACATTAAAGCAAAATTTCTGCATGTGCCAGCAACAGCAACAACTCCCCCTCTTCCACCCTCCCTCCCTGTCAACGCCCTTAATGCCACCCCCCAGCCGGCGCCCTTTCCACAGCCAGTGCATAGCCGGGGGCATGCGCCTACTTCGCCCTGATTCTGTGGGCGGACTTGATGCTCTGCCCAAATGAAATTAAAATATCTGATGTAAACCTAAATGTTAAACAGTTGCAAAACTTTAAGCTCAAGTTTCGCATGGTGCTTAACAGGACTGCAATTTAGCAGGCGAAGTTGATGTAAACCAACACTCGATAAAGTCAGAGAAGTCCATGAGATTAGTTTTAGTTTAGATTTAGTTACATAAGAATGCATTTGTAGTAGAATTAGATAAATTCTGATAGAATATATATACTAAAATAAGATATTCAGTATATTTATATATATATGATTTTATTCAATCTCTGTATTAACAGATGATATATATATATATATATATATATATATATATATATATATATATATATATATATATATATATATATATATATATATATATATATAATATAGATCTTCTTCATTAATTGTTTCCGATAAGAACTTGACTCTCTTTCTGTCTCTCGCTCTCTCTCTCTCTCTCTCTTTCTCTGTCCTTATCTCCTTTTCTATTACATTAAAGTTAATGCTTTTCTGCCTCTCTCGCACTTTCTCTATTATTTTTTAGTCTTTTCACTCTTTGTATCAGCAGCTTTTAAGCCGTCTCCCTGCTGTCTGCTTCTCACTCGTGCTTTCTTTTAATTTTCACAATCCCTCTCTTTCTCTCTCTCACTATCTCTCTCTCCGTCTCGATCACTTAATATTTAAAATCTTTCCTTCTCTCTCTTTCTTTCTCTCTCAATTTTCACGCTCACACTCTGTCTCTAAATTTTTACAATATTACTCTCTCTCTCTCTATTATTTTCTCCCTCTCTCTTTCCCCCACTTTTTACTCTTTTATTCTTTCTCTTTCTCCCTCTCTTAGTCTCTGTCTATCACTCCCTACACACCCAAACATTTTCATCCACACTCTTTGTTTGTACTTTATTCTCTGGTTCGACTTCCCTCAATATACAACTATTATCCCTCTCAAACCTTCTGTCTCCCTGTTTATCTCCTCCTCATCCTATATAACTCTTATAGGAATAATCGCTCAGATCTAGGAGACATATGCATAAGCGCAGCTAAGATATATATTAAAATATATTTACATAAACACAGACATTATAATCAATCTCTAGGGTATTATTAACTTCGTCTAGGCTACACAATTCATTGTTGTTTTTGTTGTTGTCGATTGTTGCTGTTGCTGCTGCGGCGAGCAACGAACCGAAAGTCAAGTTTAATTCATTAATAATAGGGCAGCACAATGCAGAGGGGCCTGCGCTGCAGACGTGCGGCGTGAGGGTGGGGAGTCTACGAAGAGGGGGTCAAAAATATGCAATGCAATTAATATGTCCCTTGTTTGCCTTGGCTGGCCCCACCGCCTGGGCGCCTCTCGAGCCTCGACGAGGCGAACAATAGCAGAAAAAAGAAAAACAAAGCAAAACAAAAAGAAACTCTTAGCTCCCATATATTGCCTCAGCTTCAACTCTCCCCCCTCTATCCCTCTCTCTGTCTCTGTCATTCTCTTTCGGTTCCGGCTTACCCTTGAAACGACATGCACAATGCACACTTCACAATATCCTTCGGCTTTTCCCGCTGCTCCTTATCGTTGTGTGCCACATGCCACAACATGCCACATGCCGCATGCCGCATGCTGCATCGAAAATCCTGTAGCCGCAACTTTTGCTGTTATTTCCCTCATGATTTTTTGCCGCCGTCTAATTAAATCTTTTATTATTTTTTTGTTTTGTTTAAAGGCAAATCCTATGCTCTGCCACGCCCCCGACCACCTGCCCACCCGCCTATACCTACGTTTACCACCCAGCACTTGACAGCGCGTGCATTGTGACTAGGAAAATAAACCAAACTAAAGAATATCCGAGTGAAACCAACTGTGCTGCAATTCTTTTCATTTCGTATACCCTGTAAATTGCTCAATAATGTGAGCGAGTCGTGTGCGTTTTGTGGTAAGTTTGTTATTTAATTATGGAGGTGTATGTAAGAGTATGTTCCCATGGAATGGAATGCCTCTCATTTGATACCCTGTAATTGGTTCATCATTGCAGCAAATTAAACTTACTTCTATCTCAGTTTATAAAACCTTACATATGTAAGTTTGTTCATAAATTACAGGGTATTAGTTATTGTTTTCAAGGGCATAGATTTTGCAGAATGTTTCTTTCTGTTATACGATTTTTAAAGCCTAAGTAAAACCCTCTACAGATCTAGTTATATATAAACCTCAATTATTGCTGATATATGATGCGATATCATATGATATATGCCCAATATTTATCACTGACCCATGCCAAAGCTTTACATATGTCTAATTATGTACACTTTTATAGGGTATACAGGCGCCTAATAGTAATAATAATAATGCATTTCCCTCTGGCTCTGTCTCCCTTGATCCCCCGCTCCATTTGTATAGCAGCATTTCAGTCTCTCGGGATTTTTGAGCTGAAAGTTTGAGCTGAAGAGCTAGAGCGCCAAGCTGAAGAAGAAGCAGCAGCAAAAGATGCAGCAAAAAAATAAATTAAAAAAAAGTAATAAAACAAATATGCAAAAAAAATGAAAAAGAGTAATAAAGTCATTTAGATTTACCACTGCTTGGGGTAGATATGGCAGCAACCCCTGACCAGGCCTCATGCCCGTGCTGCAATTGCTGCCACAGTTTTGCAGCCACTGGCACCTGATTTTTTCATTTCATTTTTTAGCTGATGTTAATGAACTCGAGCCGCATTGCAAAAATACAGAAAAAAAAAGGGAAAAAAGAAAGCAAGAACTGGGAAATTTCCATGTTTTACTTATTTTCTATAGTACTTGAGTCCCTCTGCAATTGCCGACCGCCCCGAGCACTCCGAGCACCCACAACTCGCAACCCTTCTAGGCCCTTCGGCCACGCCCTCGAGTTGATTTTTCTGCCTTCTGCAGTGTGTCTGTGTGTGTGTGTGTGTGTGTGTGTGTGTGTGTGTAAGTGGTTTATGCAATTTCGCTTCACATTTCTGGCACTTCATTTGCTGCCTTTGCAGCTGCAGTTGCCTTTGCTCGGCCGGGCTTCGCTCTCGGCTCCATTGGGAGCCTATGCCAGCTGCTATCCTGGCGCTCATTAGAGCAGCAGTCACGCCCATACCGCCCACTTGTACCGAAGTACGGTTTCACTTGACGCAATTTGAGGCATGGAAATTTAAATATATATACATGCATACATATATATATATGCATATACTTTTTCTGTTTTTTAATGCTTTTTAATTGGGCTTTACTGCGCTTCGAGTGTGCTACTCTACAGCCTCTGAAGCATATCAATTCGAGTTGCAGTTGCAGTTGTTCAAATCTGTAGATTTATATACCAATTTATGTATATACACTACATACATATATATCCTATTCAATGTAACAAAGTTTGCATTTGCCTGAATTGGTTTCATTGAATTCAGTTTCCATTCAATATCGTATTATGCCTATATGTATATCGAATAGAGCATTTCTATCCATATTTATTTCATTAACAATTTTAGATTCTCCTTCAATAAAATTTACTGTACAAATAGATGACTTCGTTTGCGGTTAATTTCTGTCCGCTTTTAGGTAATTTCTTAATAAAAAAAATTTATAAAATATCAAGCTGTCCAGTATTTCAAAGTCGATAATAATCACACAACTATCGATTATATTATGGATTAACTAGGTACTTAAATAAATTTCAGTAAATTATTAATTAAACGCTTGCTCAATTTTAATCATTCTTTTCTTTATAAAACTATGAATGAGTTTTTTTTTTTCTGAATTTGGTTTTTATTAGGTTTGCTGTTTCGATTGCTGTTATGCAGTTATCTTGAGGCCCGTAAGCCCATTTCTTTTAAACAGTTCTTTAATTCGTGCTCAATTAGTATTTGTGTTTGCTTTGCTTTGCTTTGCCTTGCAGCTCCATTTAACAGACACTAAAATCTTCTTAATGCAATATGCTTTTTATTCTAACTTCAAGCCCAACTGTGCCAGACTTTTATATTTTATTATAATTAAATTTTTTATCTTTCGTTTACCATGTTGTTTTATTTTATTCATTTTTTTTTCCTATATTATATATAGCTATTTTAATTCATTTTTGTAAATATATTTGTTTATTATTTATAAAATGTGTATCTCACATTTTTTTTTTTTTTTTTTTTATAATATTTTCATATTCTACATACGTGTATATTATTATATTTGCGTATACTATTGTTTCAATGAAAATATATTTTAGATTTATTATTTTCTTTTTTAATAATATTTATTTTATTTATTTTTTAATATTATAATTTTTTAATATTTTCACAACAAATCATTTTTTTTTTTTTTTCAATTTGTCTTTAGTTTTGTTTTTTTATTTAAAATATTTTTTTTTTAGGCTAAAAAACAATATATTTTCTTTTGTAACTTTTACAATTATTTAATTTTATATATGTATATAAACAAACACATACATACATATATAGATGTTTGTATGTGTGTGCTACTGTGTGTGTGTGCAACGTAGCAGCACAAAGCCAAGTGTCTGGTTAAGGCGTTGCTGCGGGTGTTTTTGCCGCTGCTTCAGCTGCTTCTGCTGCTGCTGCTGGTGCTGCTGGTGCTGGTGCTGGTGGTGCTGCTACTCCTGCTACAACTTCTACTGCTTCTGCTGTTGCTGCCAGCTAACACACACAGAAATTAGTTTTAATTATAGCGCAAATGCGAATGTCGGAATGGATGAAATTAATTTCTCAATTGCATTTTGCCACGCATTTTATTGTCGGCAAACCAAAATGTTGCACTTGCTGCTAAACAAAAGAGGGCCAGGGGAAGGGGCTCGGCGTCGGCGTCGGCTTATTTGGTGTCTGTAATTTGAAACGCTTCTCTGATTCGGAAAAACAACATTTGGCTTTGGCTTTGACTAGCGCTGACTAGGCTGAGCCTGGGACTGCGGCGGAGACTGAGGAGGAGGTGGAGGTGGAGGCGCCTTGCATATGTAGCCGCTGGTTCAGCGGTCGCTAAATGTCTGCAGAATGTTTCAAATCCGCACGCAGTTGCACGCTGCAGGTTGCAAGTTGCCAGTTGTTGTTGTTGTTGTTGCTGCTGCTGCATTTCCGCTCACATTGGGAATTTTGCGGCAGACGACGCCGTGGACCATTATAAATGATGGTTATTTTATAATTGTGGAGTCGCGAAAAGCAGTTGTTGCTGCTGCTGCTGCTGCTGTTGTTGTTGTTGTTGTTGCTGCTGCTGCTGTTGCAGTTTGGCCAACGCATTCAAAAACGCATTTCGTGGCCATTTTTAATAGTCAGCAGCGCAGCGGGCAGCAGTAAATCCATCAAAGAGTTAATTGCCACGTTGCCGCGAATGCAGCTACAACTGACAACTGCAGCAGCAGCAACTATAGCAACAGCAGCAACAACAACAATAGCAGCAGCAGCAGCAACAGTAGCCGAATGTAGCTTGCGGCAGAGATGCGCCACAGACAGCGCTGCTGATTGACTGTGGGAGGCTGTGCACAAAGACAGAGCGAGACAGACATAGTCAGCGTGAGTGAGTGAGTGAGAGAGATAGAGATAGACAATTGACTCCTTAGTCATGCAGTCAGCGAACGGTAGTTGCATGGCCCAAAGCCAAATTCAGTTCAGCTTGAAATATGGCCCAAAATATTAGAGTGGGCAATTGAGAGATAGATAGAGTGAGAGAGAGCGAGAGCGAGAGGGAGAGGGAGAGAGACAGAGTGGGAGTAACAGGGAGAACAACAACTTAAGTGCTCAGCATTTTGATTGAGCGATTGGCACGTGACAAATGTCGTGACTAACAGCGAACTAAACGGACAGTTCGTAATCCATTTGGCGGCCTTTTGATTAAATGCAGCGCATTAATCGAAACGAAAACGTTTTCAAGCGTCGTTTAAAGCGTTTCAAGCCATAGGCAAATTAGTTGAAGAGTTGCAAAATGTATATTTAGAATATGAATAATAGAAAAGTATATACGATGTCATGAACGAAAAATTGACAACATTTCTCAACGAAGTGAAATATATCGATTTGGGGAATCGATAATTTATTGGTGAAACTGTGAGATAAACTCTGGGTTAAATATAATATTTAGCTATTTTGGCTTAACTGTTGAGGTGGATGTTTCATTACTTTCAGACTTATATATAGGCTTAGTAGAGATTTATCGTATATACATATAACTGCTGCCAAATCTTCAGAAGAAGTCGGTAAATATTTTTGCGAATGCATGATCTGAACTCTCGCTGTATTTGACTGAATATTTAGAAGAAGAAAAGACATTTCTCTCTCTCTTGCTCTCTTTCTCCCTCTCTCTCTCTCTCTCTCTCGGTCTCTCTCTCTCTCTCTCTCTCTCTCTCACTCTCTCTCTCTCTCTCTTATACTTTAGCAAAAGTTTAATTCATTTTACTTGAACACCTCCAATATTTTTGTAATCCCATTAAAATAGTTTAGTTTAATTTCTTTTACATAATTTCCATAGCTACCAAAAATATCTTTTCACAGTTTTTCATCTCTCGCAATCCACAATCTCAGCATTCTCTGCACTCAACAAATGCTTAACACTTGGCAATTGCATTTGATTCCCATTTGTGGCATACATATATCGGGTATATTAGCTTATGTTTGGATTAATAGCCCAATCAAGCTCTGTTTATCTATCTATCTGAATCTTATACATCTATATCTTATATAAAGCGCATGTTGATCAACTCAGTTTTAAATAATCGATAACTTTTTATATTTGAAATCGATGTATAGTAAAAACAAAACAATACTGCGCTGGTGCCTTAAGATTTAGTTTCCATGTAATCTGTAATCTACGTAGATACGTAGATATAAATATAGATATATACATATATATAATCACCTTTCCCTTTAAATCAGCACATCATGATGGGGCTGTGTGTGTGTGGGTATCTGTTAGTCAGCCAGCCGTACTAGTTGCACGTTCG